TGTTTCTTTTAAAGTTGTAGAAGAGTTTTCAAGAGTTGCCCAAGCGTCCCTTTAAAAATTGTCCACATTCAATGCATCTATTGATGTTGAGAGAACCGACGTGCTCGCCGTCGACAGCCTCGATGGCGTCATCGGCGGCCTTTTAGAATATTTAATTCTGGACTCTCGGGAATAACCTGCCGTCAGCGGCGTCGAGCCCGCCGTCGGCGCCCAAGATCAAATCTTCATATTTTGGTTCTTTTTACTCCAAACTCACTCCTTTTTCCATTTTTTTCTCCAATGACTATAATTCAACATACCTTCAACAAAACATCAAAAATACCTTTCTTTAAAGTGCAATATCATCAAAATTAGTATAAAATAGGTATGAAAATCTCAACATATTTTCCTTTGGTCAATGCCCCATTTATAATGGAAAACTCTTTTATAAGATTTTTAGGCTTGTTATATATGATCTTACTAAAGTGGGGTTTAGATCATCTTCACCAATGGATAGTCTCTTGGGCTTGGATGTTGTGAAAGTTAAGAGAGATAATAGTTGGATAAGTTATGCACCATGTTGATATTTTTTCAGTAAAGTTTAAAACTTTGGATTTGCAAGGTTGGCGTCAATGAGAATAAAATTTTCTTTTTGAACTTTCATAGACTTAAGGATATTGAAGAGGAAACTATCAAAATCCCATTAATTTGTCATCCTTAAGCATTTCTTCAAATGTACTAAGAGAAAATAGATGTTTACCTTGATAAGATAAACTTATACTTTCTGTGAAATAGGGAAGAAATAAAAAATATATAATCATAAACTCTTATATAAGAATTTATGTCTATGGGAGTTAGGGTAGTAGTTATTGTGATTGAGGAATGATTTAAGTGGTGAGGGGAAGACACATTGTAAAAGTAAAAAAAAAGGATAGTAACCCAAGCTAAGGGTTTTTGACATAACTCTTTCAAAATATATTGTATATGAGATAATCAAATCTAAAATTATACCTATTAAAAAATTAGCAAATAAAAGCCAAGTCAATTAGACCTACTTTGTAAACACGATCATTGAAGTCTTCTGGATTAATGAGATTAATAAGATTACCAAAAAATAAGTGGCATAAGAAATTGTGATGTGAAAGGAAGAAGATGGACCATGAAAAATGTAATCTCAAATGAATTGCTTCCCAATAATGAGTGTTAAAAAGAGAGCTAATAAGCATTTCATTTGAAACACAATGAGAAATTACTGCATTTTCTTCAAAAGGAAGAGAAGTTGACGAGAGTTAATTAATAAAAGCACTAAGAAGAAGTGGGGCTTTAATTTTTGTTTCAATAATATAAATGAGTTTAGAATTTAAAAAGAGGTAAAGTTTTTTGTAATGGAGGACCCTATCCAATATTTGAAAGACTAAAATTTCCAAAAAAAATATTAATGGAAAAAACATGATTTATTTTTGTTCTTAAGTTGGCAATAGGCTCTTAATTTTTTTATTTCTGAGGTTTTTAGTTGTTAGGGATGTTTAGAAGATAGAAATGGAGAGAAGTTTCTTGCATGTTTTTGCGAGGAAGATCCAATATAGAATGTGACCCATAAGAGGAGCTAAGGATAATTAGAGATGTTGATATGAGGTTGTTTGGAAGCAAAAAAGTAGGGTAAGTAGGAAGTCCTTACTTAGGGGAGAAGGCATAGTTGTTGAAAGAGATTTTTAGATTTGGATGCAATGGCAACACCATATAAGGTTCTTCAAAGAAGGGAATAAACCTTTGGTCATAATCATGTCACTTAAAAGGGTGATTGTGGAATATAGTTGGTTTAGCAAAATAAAAGTGGGGGGAATGAGTGTGGAATATAAGACTGTCATAAGGAATGAGTTACCTATCATATAGAAACTTAAGAAGATGTAACTTTCTTTTAATAATGCTATGAACTTCATACTGTAAGGAATTTCCATTAGCAACTTTAACATGATGTAAGAGAAAGGTTATTACAATTTAATTAATGGATATAACAGAATCCATCACAAGAGGACTTCTAATTTTTTTTAAAATCTTGTAAAATTTAGATAGGTTTCAGCAACAAAGGTGCAAGTTGAATATATAGTGTTATAAATGGATGTATGACAAATCCTTTTTGACGGGCTAAAAATTTGTGAATACTTCTTTATAATGAATTTTTTCTCAGTGAAAAAGGCTTCTTTGCATGAAAATTTGATGAGCAAAAATAAATAATTGAAGGAAATATGTTATTGATTACTTTTAAGCATCCATATCTTCTTAATATTTTCTAGTAATAAAAAATAAAAGCCTCTTACTTATAAAGAAGACAATGTGGTGAGTTCCCACTATTTGGGAGTTCATCTTGAGAAAAGAGCAATTGCTTCATCATAGTAGAGAACAAGCTTGAGTTGAAAATCTTTGAAAGTAGGTTTTGGGAGGTGAGAAAATCAAACAGAAGATAGCAAAAGAGTTTTGGATGGCTCTATTAATGTTACCAACTAGAAGGAGCTCATGTA